CAACTAAGGCTATAGTCAGGCACCGTACTTTGGCACTGATGAGTGCCATGGTGCAAAAACCTAACTGCGCCAAAGTTGGGCCCTTATGTTTGCCAGACCTTTGCCCAAGTTGGGCATTCCTCTGGCGTGCTACTTGGGCATCTTCAGTGTCAATTCAAATGATAAATATATTCAATATAATGAAGATATATGGCGGGAAGCTTGGCATAAGTCTACACAAAGGTCTTCTCAAACTTGCCCATAAGATATTAGCGTAATTTGAGGACATTCTCAACCCCATGGCCGCGCCTTGAATTTGCAAGTAATGATCATCATCAAACATAAAGTTATTTCAGTCTAAAATTAATTCCAATAAGCGCAGAGTACAGCTACAGTCTGCGAGAGACCAAGGGTAGAGAGAGAGAGAGAGAGGAATTCTTTCATGGCTGCCAGTCCTTCATTATTTGGGATGTTAGTGTACAAAGAGTTCACATCGATAGTAATTAGAAGGCTCTCCTGTGATAATAAGCCGGATCTGTTCATATGATCAAAAAAATTAAAGACTAAGTTTCTGGTTTCCTTTATGTAAGATTGAAGCAGGGGGTTTTTGTTTAATCGCGTGGCCTACAAATTATGAAATTTTTTCGGTTCATGTGTCTATGCCTGATATAATGGGCCCCTCTCTATTGTTGGGCTTGTGAAACTTGATAAGCATAGAGAAAACAGCTGGATGAGCGTTTTGTGACTTAAGGTAATTATATTGATCGCCATTAATTTTATTGAAATTATGCAGATCTTCGAGTGTTCTGTTAATTATAATACAAACCGCTGTGCAGGATCGCCAGGTAGACGTATATAAAAATTTGGGTTTTTAAGCTGGATCAATGCTTCCCGCATGTAGTCGGTCTTGTTCATAACCACAACACCACCACCCTTATCCGCATGTCAAATAATGGTGTTCTCCCTAGACTTCAAATTAATAAGGACGGGTTGTTACTTTCTAGACAGATTACCCTCCTGTGTGGTTGATTTAGCAAGCGAATTCATTTCCTGAACTCCCGTCAATCACTCACACGGCGAACGAGATATCGAGGCGCAAATTTCTATATGCGTTAACAATCTCCACTTCGGGGGAAAGGACGATTTCACATGCAAGTCTACCACAAACGACGTCTTGCACCAAATACCGTGCACAAATAGTTGGCCGCTATGTGCAGGTCTCTTTTCGCTTGTATAGAAAAGATTATGAAATATGTCATTTTCAAACTTCAGTGTGACTTAGAATAAAGATGACAGTGTACCGCGAGTATCCAAAACAAACCACGCATCACCGAGCGCTCGGTCTCCTCAAAATTGTAGCTCTAAGGGTTGGTATAAAATGTAAAAAAAATCGGAATCTACCCTGTCTTCTTTGTAACGTATTTTATTCGAAAACGACAGCGAACCACGCCCGCGAATACGGGAACTTGTATGGTGCCTACTGTAGAAAACACACCCATTTTTATCATTTCTAATGTCTAAAAAAAAAAATAAAAAAAAAGTTGATATCTTATATTTTGTCACGCCCACATCTGAAACTTTAAGGTCCGGTCCCAATCGCTAGCTCTGTACTACCGCAGAGCAGACATGTACAAGTTATTCAAAGAAAGTAATTAAGTTCCTAAGTATTGGCCTCAAAAGTAATTTGAGTAGAGTAGAAGTCGCTCAAATAGAAAGTAATTGAGTAAATTACTAACTATCGTACCAAAGTAGAAAATTACTTCTGAAGTTACTTTTATATTTTTATAGCAACCTATATACTGGGGAGTGTGAGACCTTGTCAAGTAGCTGCGTAATACTTTTTTTTCTGCCTTCCCCTGTCAAGCGGATAGAAATAAACATCGATTGATTGATTGATTGATTGCTTGATTGATTGATTGAAAAGTACATAAATGTTTTGTTCCGTTAGCGAAATTCTGCTAGCCAAATATAAAGCGGCTTGTAATTGCCCGTAACTGCTTTAATAGCTGGATCTGGTTCCGTGATCGTTTTGTACGTTTTGTTTTTAGAGCGCAGCTCTTAGGGGCCCGTTCCCGGCTTGAGCGGCGTCGGCGTCGGCGTCGGCGTCGCCGTCGGCGTCGGCGTAACCGCAACCCTCGTAACCCTTGTGAGGGTTACGAGGGTTACGAGGGTTAATCTCATGAGGGCTACCCTCACGAGGATCACGAGGGCCACGAGGGTTACTTACCCTCGTAACCCTCACGAGGGTTACGAGGGTTAGTTACCCTCAAAAGGGTTACCTTCACGAGGGTTACCCTCACGAGGGTTACTAACCCTCGTAACCCTCGTGACGGTTACGAGGGTTAGTTACCCTCAAAAGGGTTACCTTCACGAGGGTTACCCTCACGAGGGTTACTTACCCTCGTAACCCTCACGAGGGTTACGAGGGTTAGTTACCCTCAAAAGGGTTACCTTCACGAGGGTTATGCTCACGAGCGTCACGAGGGTTATGAGAGTTACCCTCACGAGGGTCACGAGAGTTACCCTCACGAGGGTCACGAGAGTTGCCCTCACGAGGGTTACTAGGGTTACCCTCACGAGGGTCACGATGGTTACCCAGGTCACGTGACCCCCCGTTGACGTCATAGCCACTGATGACGTCATCAGTGACGTCACTGATGACGTCACCGGCATCCGCATCGTCATCGTCATCATCACTGACGACGTCATCAGTGACGTCACTGATGACGTCACCGGCATCCGCATCGTCATCATCATCATAACTGATGGCGTCATCAGTGACGTCACTGATGACGTCATCGGCATCGTCACGTGGCCCCAGGTCACGTGACCCCCCCGACGTCACGTGACGCCCCAAGTTCACGTGACTCACACAAGGTCACGTGACTCCCACAAGGTCACGTGACGCCCCGCCCCCCGAGGTCACTTGACCCACCCCCCCAGTACCCTTCCCTCCTCCTCCTAAAGAGCTGCGCTCTAATTCGGCATTACAGGGAGTTGTAAACGGCTTTCATTTTTTGGTCAATGATGTACTGCGGATTATCATTTCTACTTTAACGTTTAGCGCAGCATGAGATTGATTCTGCAGACAGTGTTTGCTTATTTACAGTGTTGCGTAAAGTACATCTAAAAAGTACTTGAAGTAAGTATAAAGTCAATTAGAGGTTAAGTACTTCTATTATAGTAAGTACACCGTGTGCAATGTACGTGAAGTAAAGTACTATAAATACAACATACTTCTAAAGTAAAGTACATATACTTTTTAACATAATCTTTCATGATGCCCTTTCATGCCTTATTTTATTTTTACTTTACTTTAACTGGTATGCATTGCTCCAGGGGTAATCGGAGGAGCATCAGTTTTTTTTTTCGGAAATGGCGGCACATATTGGATAAAGTCATGTCGCCACAGAGCAGTTGTTTTACCCTCGCATACGAACTATTTAACACAATGCATTTATGAGGAACTTATTTGTATCGGCCATATAGCCGCCATTACTTCACTGAGAGAAATCACCAGGTGTCGTCTCGCAAGACGATAGCGCGTTTTACATGACGATACACTTATTTTTTTTTTTCAAAATTTGGAAAATGTACTTTGAAGTCGGAAATTTTACTTTCTTCAGATATTACCAGAAAACAATACTTTAGTAAACTACAAGTACATGCTCAGAGAAAGTACTTCCTCCAAGCTATAAGTTTTCTAATCCTACTTGAAATAGTACTTTAGGTGCCAGTACCATGCATTTAAAATGCTTCCCAATTCAGCTTTTTTAAATATACGTTGAGGGAATTATTAGGCTTTTTAAATGATTTTCAAATTTTGGAAGACCTGCATATTTTGAGTTTTGGGGGGAAAGGCAACGCAAAAAAGTCGCTTTTGCGTTGCCCTTTAGCACGCAATCCTTCACGTACAGCACCAACTACGGGAGCCCCAGATGGCTTCAGAGCGGGTGCTGCATTTTGTTGAGTCCTTTGAGTGAGGCTATAATGTGTACACCTCCTGTAGTGGGAGAGAGTTCCTACGTTGAAGAGAAGCGCGGACATAGCTTTTCTTTAAATACGTCGTCTCCCTGAGCTCCGCTGCCCGCGCCTCGTAGCAATGTTGTTGCGGGGGGGGGGGGGGGGGGGGGGGGGGGGGGGGCTCGTAAAATATTTTGGGGGTTTCGGACTCTCCAATCCCCTTTCTCGACCCCCCCCCCCCTCTTTCCTACGCCACATGCTTCCCCCTCTGTAAATACCAGCTGACCGTCCAACATCTTATCTATTTTTGTGCAGGGATGTTTATTGACCAGCAAAACTACCACTAAAATTTAAAACTAATTTGTAATTTGAGTAAAGTTACTGAGAAAAAAGTAATTAAAGTAAAATACTAATTACCAAAATAAAAATGTAATTGAATGTTACTAAACTACTGAGGAAACTAGTTAAACTGCAGTAACTTGAGCAGAGTAGTTGAATTACGTAGAAGTATGCCGCAGAGACTTTTTCATCATGCGCAATATTTTCTTATATGTAATAAACATGGTTTCCTGTTTCTCAGACACCCGTTCCATAGTTTTGTGTTGTTTTTATATCTTTCTTTTTACAATTCTGCCTTAATGAAACACAAAGGACGGATCGCCTGGCGTTCGATAGCTGCTGCCCTACCTGAAGTGTCCTAGGAGCTGATAAAAGCGCAGAAAAGAGAATGAAGAGCTGCGAGGGTATGCTCTTGCTAAGATGACAAGATCAAATATATTTTTGGTAAGACTCACATCCTCGCAGCGAACCGCCTCTTTACTCAGCATTTGTTGCGAGCCAGGCGCTCTTCCGTTCGTGCTTCATTCAGTCCCGATAGTGCCTCTTATTAATGTATGTCGATCCATGAGCATAAGTGCGAACACTGTTTCACAGCAGCATGCAACTAGGCAGCTAAAAACTGCTATGCTTGACCGTTGCTACAACCTAGTTATAAATTTTGGCGTTCATAAATTATAAAGGAACATACAAGTCTGAGATAATATTTTGATAGTACGTACTTTGACTTTTGAGCCAGCACTAGGAAAGCCCACGTTGCCCATGCTGATTTGTCCAACAGGCGTATTACTCACTATACCGGTCGTTTCAGTCATGCCGTAGAGGTTGACGAACGATTTGACGCCGAAGAACTCGTATATCTCAGTTCCTAATGATTTCGAGAGTGACGTCCCGGCCACTACGATCTTCTCGAGATCCACAGCTGGATAGTTGTTTGATCTCGCTTCATTGATAATCTCGCGGAGTCGTTCAGGAATGCCTAAAAGCACGGATACCTGTAGGATGAAAGGGGGCGTTTGACCACTTCATTAGACTCGTCCTGGTGTAACTATTTTAAGCATTTATTTTATCTGTTGTCTGCGAATTTCTTCGGTCGTTTTAAGATGTTCGAGTGTAATTCATAGCTTAAAAACACTTAGGAATTTTTTTGCTTTTCAGCAGAACATGTGCTATTAGCGTGGAACAAGCACAGAGTAAGTGACGAACGCCACTCATGTTTCCACACAATATATATGTTTATGTGAGGTAATATCTTACCTTTAGTTCTGATATTGAAAGACGCAATGTTTTATGTGTTATCGCTCTGGAAATCTAAAAAAAAAATACATAATTTCTACGCATATTCGTAAAATTGGAGAACCTGCCAAAACCTTGACGGGCAAGAAAATTCAGGGCGTCAATAAAGCGCATTTTATACTCCTTTTCGTTTTTTTTTTTTTGTTTCTAGGGGGCGGAGGGGGGGGGGGGAGAGAATAAACGCTCAAAGCTTTTGCTCTTTTGGAAGCTCTCGTACCTTCTTGCGGACCGATTTGAGCGGGTATGTGTTGTTTATCTCCCCCGCCAGTGTTAAGCACGTTTGGCCGAGCCTTCCTTACGTGATATTTAGCGAGCGTCTCCAAGAAATCTTTAGACGAGATGGAAGGTTCGGTGACTATTATCCTTGCTCCCTGGCACATGCTGACAACGCCCACCACGAACCCGGAGATGTGAGTGAAGGGATTCCAAGCAAGCACGACGTCGTCTTCAGTAAAAAGCCTCGAAGCTCTGCAACAAGGCATAAAAACAGCCAACCAAAATTTAAGAAAAACAAAACAAACGTGTTCACACTCAGTAACACAATATTTATTCAAGACGAAAATTTTGTTGTTTCTCACTTGTGTTTGTCAAATCCGTTTGTGACGGACAGTGCTCGTTCGTGAGAAAAGGACTAATTACCTGATAGGAAAGAGGTAATAAAAGGAAAACAAAAACATCATATTTGACAATATATTTTTTTGCACGAATATAAACATTTTACTCATATCACATAGACACCGCATTCTTGATGAAAAGAGTAATTAACTGGTACAAAAGAGCATTCGTAATACACAAAAATTGATTGGCTTAGTCATTTTTTACAAATGCAAGAAAGAAAAGGGTTTAGTGCAAGTGGCCGCTCGAACACCATCCGCACCCTCTTTTCCTTCTGTTCCTTACCCCTCTCCCCTAAAGCCCGACCTACAAAACGTTTTTCCGCAAGGTAGGAAAATCCTTCCTGCCGCCCTTCCCATCTCCCCCTCTCCCTCTGCTATTTTGACTGCAGGGAAATCCATTGGGATATCCTTTTGCTGCTGCGTCGAAATATTACGGCCATATTTCAGTGAAACCAAATAGACCTGCGCTCCACTGGAACTGGAGAGGTCCCTGGTTCGATATCAGGACCAGGCGGATATTTTCGGTCGCGCACCAGCCACCTAGCTGTGTTTGAAGATTTGTGTTTCTCCCTTGTCCCCCTGTTCCCCTTCTCCAGGGACTATTATCCACATTCTTGTCCAGTTCGCTTGCACCTTTGCATTGATCGCATTATCGTCATAACTTTAAAATGCAGGCCGTTCACCCTTCCTCATGCTTTACTGGCGTCTTAGTCCTGGTTAGCTCATTCGGTAGAGCGCTCCACTAGAAATATAGAGGTCCCTCGTTCGATAGCAGCCGGTTTTTCTTTAGCCGTGCACCAGTCCCTTCCTGTGTTTAGAAATTTGTCTTTGTCCTTTGTCCCCCTTGTGTACATTCTCCAGGGGATATTATCGTCAGAGACACATATTCAGTTTTCTTTTTTCTTCTTTTTTTTTTACGCTGTTCGCACGCATGCCAAAATCACAATAGCGAAGACTTCGTCGAGCTTTCCTCTTCTTTGAAAACGTAACTTAAAGCCTCCCCTCCTCTCCTCATCGTCAATGATTATATTACCTTTTTTTCCAATCGAACGCGTCCCGCATGAACAACTGTACTCAATTTGGGGATCAGATTGTTTCCCGTCCCCTGGTCGTCGTGTTGAAGACGACTATGGTGTCTGAAGAATGTGTTTTTCGTGCAAGCTGGCTGTAGTTCAGACGGTGTCGTACACAGTTCGTCGTCGAAAGGCGCTGCGCCTTCTCGTCGATTGAATATACTGTTCTCTTTTACACAAAACACGGATAAGCGCCGCATGAATAACCTTTTGTCATAGGGTACGCCTTTCTTCAGTCATTTGTTGTTTTTCTGCAGAGGAGACGAAGGTAGAACCACGTCGACTCGGATCAAAATTGAGCAGCCATCTTTGGCAGCTACACGATTACGCAAGAGGCACAAACGACTGGCAGTTCAGCAACCGGCGAAGCGGAGAAAACGCTTTACATACGCTCAAACTCCGCATACGTCCAGAAAACGTCGTTCAATCAAGATGTGTCCGTGTAGGAGAGAAGTGAGAATGTCAAAGGACTGATACGACTCAAGGGAGTTATACCGTCGAAACCAAACACAACGCGTGTTTCAAGAGCATTAATCCCAACTATTGCGTCAAATAGCATATTTCAAAATCGTTCCTGAATTATGTAATATGAACGTAAGGCATATTTTCCACGTTTTACGGCATTTATTCATCTCCGATGGGGTTTTATTTGCCGCGGCTTCGACTGGAACCTGCGGAGCTTCTCGGCTGCTAAGCTTTCGGGGTTGTGACAGTCCAGTACGCAGCAGTGCCTACCGCTTCGACGTCTGCTATTCTTAGGCAATATAAAAACATTTCGAATCAACACCTTCAAATTGATGCATTAACAGATCCACGAGCAAAAATGCTGGCAAAAGGACCTTCCCAGTCTTTGCAAATATTTTGAGCTAGATGGCGCGATGTGTCACACCAAACGTGATTGCTCTTATGGCTATAGTTCGTCCGTTTACCTTTTCAACATCGACAGTGTTGTCGCCTAATAATCACGTATTGCGAAGTATTTGTACGTTCTAAATTAACTGACCGCTCTTACTCTAGCGTATCAAAAATGTTACGCTATATCGTAACGCAGGACAAACATCCTTAAAGTCCTTGTACCCCGTGCTGACCTCAACACAAGTCTCATGCCAGTCTTATTTCACCAAATGACTCCTTCTCTAACCAATTAGCACCCTAATAAATAAAAGAATAGTTGAAGCTTCTACTTTATAATTGCATTTTCGACGCTTACTATTCTGACAGCACTTTAACAAGTGTAGGTAAAGTGAATGTGAGGTGGGCTGGAACAACTGAATTGATCTGGAATGCTTAACGACAGTGTTACTATTACAGTTTAATGAACAATTCGAACGAGTGCTGTTCTAAATGACGCATGGATCTTTTCATTGACGATTCTGAAGATACGGACCCTTTACGTGCTTTTAGTTATATCGAATTATAAATATGGGAACGTACTGATAACCGCGATAGGTAGAAACGTAAGCTTTGTGCGATATTTCCACGGCTTTCGGGAGGCCCGTTGTTCCGGACGTGTAGAGCATCACCACGACCTCCTCAGTGTTGTTAGTAGGCACGTGGGGCATCAAGTCCATCCCGCACCGCTCTTGAAACTCGAGGACGTCGATAAACCCTGGTGCGTTTCCCACGGAAAACAGCCCCTGCGAAGACCAGGAAATTCCGTTCCCTCGTAGGTCGGCATTTTGATTACAGAGTCGTACTAGAAGCAAAAAGCAGATTACATATTCAAATAAATGTCATTATTTTATTTTAAATTAACAAAGGTTGATTTACTATCGTGGTAGAAGACTATTAAGTAATCATTATTCCCACGCGTCATCCTTTCTGCGACCGTCGTTTTAGCCGTAAACATTCAGTACTGTTTCATCTGAGTTATATTGGTGTACAGCCCGCCACAGTATGAATGACCCACCCACCGACGCGCTTCACGCTATGGTGGTAAGCACACTTTGCCCACGGGGCATAATTTTTTTTTTTTTAGGTCGATAGTAGAACGACGGTTAATTTATTTCTTCGCTTCAAAGATTCTGGGCCTTGTCCGGGCGGTTCCTGTTCAGACGACTTAGCTCTGACTCGTCGAATGGGTCTTTCATAATTTTGGACACTGAACATCACACTGAAAATAAAAATGAGCTGTCGGATGACACCTGTGAATTCAAGGGCCGGCCTCAAGCATGCAGAGTGAAGGGCTGAGGGTGTTTTAGGGTGCATGTGTAATCCTAATTGCGTGACTGCCGATCAACAATTAACACGAGTTATGGAATACAAACATTTTTTACGGTCAACGAGACTTCGAGAAAAATTATTCCATAGATACAAGTATTGTTTCAACTCAATATTATCACGACACGCCTTGGAAACGCGCATAAGTAAAAAAAAGTTCTACAGTAATAATCAACAGAGGTAGCCTTCAGTCGCTCTCAGTTTAAAGTAGTAAGGAACTAATATATTTATTTTTTGTTTTATTTGTAGTAATACTAAGTGCATTTTTGGAATTTAGACTGCTCAACTAAACGAAATGGATCAGCTGAGCGCATAGATGATGATGGCTATAATTTGGTGATTTTTCGGTCTCTTCCTTTTGAATGGGACCGTCCTTTGGTGTTAAGGTCATATACACCCGTTTTCACAATACGATGAACCGTACTGGATACTACGAGCAATCGGAGCCAATCCAAAGCCATGCGAGTTTCACGTGACCTTCGGCAGCGTCGCAGCGACGCGCGGGAGGCGTAGTCACGTGGTCCGGTCAAAACGCTGCATTAGGATATCTAGTTGCGCTCGGTACGGTCCACCGTAAGCTGAAGCAGAGTACAGCGTGGGATACTTCCCTATCCTCTTTGCTGCACCAGCTGCCATCGAGTTTCCAGCCTCGCATCAAGCGCTGGATGCCGTACTTTCGCAATCACCGCCATCGTTTGATCGTGCCGCGGGAGCTCCTATGCGATGCCGGCGACGCGTCGTCATTTTACACTCCTGGCGCAGCCCACATCCAGACGCACACGTTCCCGTTAGTGTGCTGTGACTGCCGGTGACGCGCCGCCGTTTGCGGGCACGGTCCCATTGGTGTACTGTATAGACCCTTTCAGGCAACATTTCATGGGTGCCGCCATCTTGACGTTACGTGACCCTGCCGCCATAACCGCCCTTCAATTTCTCGCCGTTCCTCCGCGTTGTGTGCTGCACCGGCCACTACCGGAGCTTTGTTTCGCGTTCTTTTACGCTCCGCGTTGAAATCGTGTTTGTTTCTTTAGGTCTTTTCGATATTTTGGGCTTTCATTTAATCATTTGATGTCTATATTTCAACATAGCTCTTGTATTTTTTTTTTATTTATGAAATGGAATCGGACAGCGAATGGATCGACGATACAAGATTATGACTTCAGAGACCATGTAAGGTCATCCCATTCTAACGTTTTTCTCGCTAATAAAGGGCAGTCAACACCATTGCGACATATGCAAATTTCAACTGACGCAGTAAGGCTATCCAATCGTGCTTCTCGCTGCATGTGCGCGCTCGTTTCCGTAAAGACGACCCGTATGTAAGCGCTTTAGCGTGCGACGAGACGAGCGACGGCGACAACGACGAGAGTCAGCGACGAAGATTTCTCACTGTCGCCTGCTGCATCGCTCGGTTTATTTTGTTTCGTAGCTTATCGTCTTGGTCGTTTGCTCCCGTCGCTTCTATGCGGTTTGCCTCGTCGCGCGACTGCCCGAGCGACAGCGAAGCGGGTCACCGTCGCTTGTCTCGTTGCTCGCCGAATCGCTTGCATGCGGTTTATACTTAATATCGAGGCGCCAATGGTTCGATGCTGTGTGCATCGAAATTAATTGAGCATAAACCGCATGTAAGCGATATGGCGAGCGACCAGATAAGCGACGGCGACCCGCTTCACTCAGTCAGTCGCGCGACGAGGCAAACCGCATGGAAGAGACGGAGCAAGCGACCAAGACGGTGAGCGACGTTTTATAGAAATCCCAAAACCGATCGATGCGACGGGCGACAGTGAGAAATCTCCATCGCAAGTCTCGCCGCACGCTAAATCGCTTACATGCGGGTCGGCTTTATGGAAACGAGCGCGCACATGCAGCGAGAAGCACGACTGTGACAGCCTTACTGCGTTAGTTGCAATTTAAATATGTCGCAATAGTGTTGACTGCCCTTTATTAGCGACAAAAACTTAAGAATGGCATAAACTTACATGGTCATTGAAGCCCCATAATCTTGCATCGTCTACCCATTCGCTGTCCGATTCCATTCCACGAATAAGAAAATACAAGAGCTATGTCGAAACATAAATATCAAATGATTAAATGAAAGTCGTGCATATCGAAAAGACCTAAAGAAAATAGAAGATTTCAACGCGGAACGTAAAAGAACACGAAAACGAAGCTCGGGTAGTGGCCTGGGCAGCACACAACGCGGAGGAACGGCAAGAAACTGAAGGTCGGCTATGGCGGCCCAGAAAGCGCGCGAAGGGCGCGCCGACTGGTGGCAGCTCGAGTAACTGACTCGCTGAAAGCCGCCATTTTTGGCAGATTGCGCGTCTGACTTCCAGACGCGCACGCTCCTAGTTATCTGTTGTGGCTGCGGTGTCTAGAGATGTAAGCGGTTGAAAAAACATTCAAAATGTTTTTTAGCCAGGATAAATTTTTTAGCCAGGATAAAATTGAAAAAAAGAATAAAACAACCAGACAGAGCTCTCAATCTGTGAAACGCTGCCGCGCGCCGGCGGCGGCGACGTCCACCTTTCGCTGGACGTCGAGAAACGCCTCTCTATCGTCGCAGAATGCAGAACCTGCAAGGAAATTTGGTCAAAAGAAGGGAGTTAAGGAGTCTGCGAAGCACCGGTATCCATCCACATGGTGGCAAGGAGTTTTCTTCAACCAACCCATGAGTCCCCTCGCCCCTCGCGTACTGCAGATTCCCCCTTCTGTGGCATGTGAAAGAAACTGGTCCGAGTCTGGTAATGTGCACACCAAGCTACGCAGCAGGCTCGCAGGGTATCGCGTGCAAAAACGTGTGAACGTGCACTCCAATCTGAATGTCGGGAAGGCTTCGTGCGCTGCGCAGCGAAGCATTGACGCGTCAAGAGGAAATGAATCGGAATTATCGGACACGGATTGATAGAAATGTCAGTCTTGACGCTTTGATGTGAAATCGATGCCTTGACGTGAAATCATACTTAGATTTAGAAACCGGAAGCTCTGCGGGAGCATGGGACTTTTGTGGTGCAGTAATGTAACAATTAAGCTCTTTTAAGAGTTAACAAAATAAATGTATCGGGTTTTTCATAGCTCTGTGCGCAATGATATTTTTTCAATTTTTAATATTTTTCGAAAAAAACATGAAAAAACCCTTTTAATTTCCAAGCACCCTCAAAATTTCATGAAATTTTACATCACTACCGGTGACGTGCCGCCGTTAGCGAGCACGCTCCCATTCGAGTACTGTACAGATGCCGGCGACGCTCTGCCATTTTTGGCTCAGGTACGTCTCAGCATGCACCAGCTTGGCGGTACTTGTTTATAAAATCCAAATTCGTTCAGTGCTTCATACTCCGCTTCATCTTACGTTCAAGCGCAGCGGATGTTGCGAGCCACCGGAGCCAATCCAAGGCCGCGTGAGTGTCACGTGAGCCTGGAGAGTGGGCACAGCGGTGCGCGGAAAGCGTACCACTGGTCACGTCCACAGAGCAGGATTGGCTAGGATAGCTCGTAGCGTCCGCTGCGTCCGGACGTAGGGGAACGGAGTATAAAAGAATTTTAGTAGATCGTTCCGATGCCTCCGATACTGCCGATGATGATACCCGACAACGATACGATGCCCGAGCAAAGGCTGCGGCGTATTATCGGGTGTCGTTGTCGAAGTCATCGGAACGATCTACTAAAACTGTCTATAGTCTCGCGCACGTGCTGTGCCATCTGCCAGAAGAGGCCTGTGTCGCAGTCGCGGATGTCCATAAGCCGAGCCGCGCACCCTGCGTCTGTTTGCGTTCGGGGGTCTTAACCCAAATAGGTGATCACTGCACGAAACGTAAATCTCAAGTTTAACCCCATTCTTGTTTGATAATCACCACGTGATAGTCGCAGTTGGTTTATTGCTCTGCCCTCCAAAATGTGTGCAATATGCTATGCTCTTCAGATATAAAACACAAAACTGCAAAAAGGATAAACCTTTTTTTTTAATTATAACTATACAGATTAGAGAATGCAGCTGGCATAACAAAAAAGCAACCAAAGGCTTGTTTGTTCTTTCATCGATTTTTCGTTTTTTTAGTTATAGATACTTTTTAGGCACTCCATCGCGGATAATAGAATTACCGCCATGCCCCCCATGTATATTGTTCCATTTACGCGCATATCGAGGGCTGTGCACCGAGACAGAAGAGCCTCTAAATACAGGGCACATGAACGCGCAGGTGCGAGTCGCGAAATGAAGCCGCAGAGTTGCACATGCTTCGCTCGCGTATCGTTTTTAGGTCCAAGGTCAATGTTGCCGCGGCGCTACACTCCCCTCTCCCTCACAAGCGAGTCCACTGCGTCGCGTGCGTATCTTACACCACCTGGAAGCCGGAGCACTGAAGCTTTAGCAGAGGCACTAAAAAGTCAAACGCGAGGTACCGATTGTACAAACTCCACCTAGAGAATAATCAAAGCCTATGCGAAAGACTATTGACGTCATCGCAGTGAGATCGAGCGAAGACACGAATTGGAAGCGAGTGCTGCGTCGGCATTCGGCGTGGTCTCGTGTCCAATGAACGCGTCGAAGGACGCTCGGCTTCGGGCTCGGGTCCAAGTGCTCAGTTGGCGACATCCGAATTTGATGGCGTTCTAGGGGGAAATCCTTCCACCTGGTTAGAGTGGGGACGAAGACGCAGCTCTTATGCTCGTCTTCTGGTTCTGCTTGGATAATTTGTTTACCACGTGACCCCTTCTCCGCCAATAAGCAGTTGACGGCGAAAGAAAAATTTATGGGATGCTCCGGCTCCGCCATTTCTTTACACTAGCGAGGGCTAGCCGAGGTCACGTGGTTTGCAGGCCCATTTTGTTTTGCTGAGCACTGTGCATTACCATTCGGTGAACATATATCAGATGTTAAGACGGCAATCATACGAAATGGCAAAAGCATAGAATAAAAAAAAAAGAAATGGAAGAAAAGTCGTAGCATATGATTTCACTCACCCAGCTTCTATTATTGTCGCAGTGATAAAACAAAAATGAAGGGTTGCGTTCCTGTTGCCACGTCATCATAAGCTGTATAGACATGGGCATAGGCTTGTTCGATTGTGTTGCAGCGTGCGTAAAATAATGAACTCACTTACAAAAAAAAGTTAAAACCTCCCTTCTTCTTTAGGTTCGTCGTTTTTTTGAAGTTTAGGCAATCGTTCTCCTCTTTCTAAACAGCATCCACTACGTAAATGCAGAAAAAGATAGTTGTTTTGCATATCATTCGTGACTAATAATTAGGCGAGTGCATGAACAGGTGGCAACTATCAGTGCAAAGAGACCCGCCTTAAAAATCTTGTGAAGGTATGCAATACAAAAAAATATTTGTGGTGTTCAATGCATATAATTATTGCCGCTTAAGTGTATACGCATGATCGGAAAAACCTAGTATCTCAAGGGGCACATGCCGCAGGAACTCAAGCACCGAGTTCCGACTGCAGCGGTCCTCAACCTGTTATACCGTTAGGTGGCGCATATAGAGAGAAACAGTTCATTTCCTTTATTTAAATTTAACTAAAAAATTGCAATCGTGATTGCAGTGGTCCTCAAAGGTGTATAGTTTGGCTTAAATGATAGTGGAAGGTGTCGACAGGGGTAAGCAACTATCATACTACATCTGGATAGGTCATTTTGTATTAGTGCATGATGGAATTACATACTGCTTGATGCTTGCTTCCCCCCCTCCCCTTTTTTTTAAATAATATATCCTGTATATTTGCTAGTTAGTTGTAAACCTTTTAATGTCGTGTTATTTGCTTTCGTTTTATGTGTGAATGTATATGTTGTATCCCACACCTACTTGGGCCTTCGATGGCTTGTAGTATCCTCTAAATAAAATAAAAAATCTAAAATTAAAGCACTGGTCTTTTTCTTGCGTGACTGGGAAAGAAAAGCAACGAAAACAGACTGAAGTTTAAACATTGCGAGCTACTGACATTTCAGTCCCACATTCCCCCTCTTTACCATTTCTTTGTCTGATAGCTGGAATCTTGGCCGCCATTTTTTCTCGGAATCACGAAAAGGACTGATGAAATGACAGAATGGGTATTAGCCCATTTGATATCATCACATAAAATTCGGATCTGACGACTCTTTTTTTGTTTTCTGCGGAGAATACGGGAGCCAGTTATGGAGGGACGGAATTACACAAACCAAAGAAAAGAGAATATTACGACAGGAGAACAAACCAGCTAGTTGCACTGGGTTACTGCGCATATTTTTTGCTTGCTCAGGATCCTTTTTTCAGAAACAAATGTAATAAATCTCAGACGTCGACCGGACTCACCTTAATGGCTGACGGCATGGTAATTTGGAGAAGTTTGGGTGCTGTCTCCTTGTCTGTGAGGATGTAATCGCACGCGCTGTCCCGAAGCACGTATATAACCTCCCCTAAAACAACGAAATGCATTCACTCAGTCTAAGGCGCATTAGTGATTATGTATAGGGTGGCCACAGTTTTTCCGAGGCTGTAAAACAAACCATGGAATCCAGCACCGGTACATAGAAACCTTCAACTTCCACCGAATGTATATTTAGATAGGGAATTTTAGTTGAAATGTCAGGGCGTTATTTTCCTCTTGTAAAAATTAAAACCAACGAACTTTATAAAATCGACGTGGAAGGTGTTTTTAGGCAAACGATTTAGCGTTGACTTTATAACTTCTGGCGCCCTCTCCCGTTGCTCGCAGTTAGCAGACATCCGATTGCTTTGTCTGGTCGCTGTGTCAATGAGGAGATCGTGCCACAAGTTACGGTCATCGCTAACTCGGATTTCTGCAAACCTGTCCGCCGTTGGCTTTGGCAGTTTGTTGCTTTCAATTCATGGGAAGAGTACATGCTTCAACATTTTACAAGGTAAAATAAATTTTGTAAGTTCTCTTTTCATGAAAGTTCGAAATTTACATGTCAAGGCGCTTGTTCTTCAGACTCTTTTTTTTTCCGCGTAGGAAACACTGTAGCCATCCTACACCTGCACACGATAGCCCTTCATTCCGAACAGGTAACGAACGGATACTCACTTGGAACGTAAGCTGTCTTCGCCATAACAAGTGTTCCTCCTGCAAACACCAGAGCGAATGCTGCGGCCATATTTTCAATTGTGTTGCGGATGTGCGCGCATACTCTCGAGCCAGGCTTCACGCCATGTTCTTGAAACCCCACAGCGTACCTTCGTATCTTTGTCAACAACTCCCTAGCGGAAATGCTCTGCTGGGAATCAATCTGAAAAAAAGAAAAGAATCAGGAATAGAGCGAGTTCTGGCATATAGGTAATGCGCAAGCCGTTCCAAGTCCAGTTATTTGGACTTGGATGGAAACTATAGTGCCTGTCGACGTCAGCCTGCTCAGAGGGAGGCTTACATTTTAATTCTTCATTGAGCATGTTTAACGAAAGTTTGCTTTGCGCAGGCTCTACCTTTGAGCTCGATGCCTTTTCTTTGGTTCGGATGACTTACTAATGGAATACTCAATGAGCTGGTCTTCTTCCAATGGGCCGACCGATATTCTCTAGTTAGTTTACAATCAAAATTTACCAGTTAGCTTGACGGCATGAGCTTTCGCGTGAACTCATGACTATGGTATAACAATTGCTATCTTCCTATTAACTCCTACAATTCACTCAGTTGCAAACGTAGTATAATGAACGTTCCTACCTATTGTGTAAACGATAGAGCATTAGACAACATATAGCAATGTTTATTAAATTCAACATAAATCAGCATTTTATAACACCCTCCATTTTCTTAAGAAAAGTGACGTTCGTGTTGCCTTTACTTCTAATATTTTAAGTATGTTTTAATATAACGTCAATTTGCATCGGTCGCCTTATTTATTCACGTGTACGGGTACAACTTCACTGTCACTCTGTCGCGTATACTTACAGCAATTATTTTGGTTGACCATTTCATCAAGCATTCCTGGAGCATTTGCGAAGTGTGACAGTCTCCGACATCAAAGTCAGGAAGTGGCGAATGTATCACACGTCCTCGAACACAAGCTTTCATCCTTGAGTGATTGCTTCTGCGCTTCCAGAAGAGACTTCAGCGTGTGGCGCCAGGGCTGTTCCTTGCAATAGGGGCGGAATGCATTTTTTTTAATTTGTTGTCGACCCTAGCGAAAACGCTCTGTTTCGAGACGCGATGCCTTACTGCATTGCGACTCTAGGCAAATCACTTGCTCACGTAAAAAAATGAAGACATTGTTTTAACGAAAGCCTTTTAGGATTAAAACATCCTTTTGACAGCGATTATGCTATAAAGAGACGAAGTGAACAGCGCGGGCAGCGCACCTGCTGTCGCTGTTATTCGCCCTGGGTCACAAAACCCTCACCTTAGTTCACCTGAGCCTCCCGCAGTCGCTTCTTCAGGACCTCGATATCTGGTACTTGAGTCGGGGCTTCTATACCATGGTGTTCACCACATGGGAGAGTAGGTGCGAATGAACAAGTGGAGTGAGCCTGTAAGCGTGTTTACCTCCACTGCAGGATTGGGGCCCAACTCTAGTTAAGGGTACTTCATAAAATAAATTCGTGAAAAAAATAGTAAATTATAGCACACAGTGAAACAGATATAGGTACACCTGTGTTAGCAAAACGGGACATAAACTGAGCAACATATACGAATTTGGATTGTAGACGACCAGATGTTTTAAAATCCTGCTAAGCGATTAAAAAAAAAACAGTAATTTTGGCGATAATAATCGCTGGAGGAGGGGAAGAAGGGGGCAGAGGACAAACGCGTATCTCCAAGCACAACTAGGTGACTGGTCCACGACCGAAAAAAGCGGTCTGGTACTGGTACTGAACCAGGAACCTCTCCTTGTTTAGTACCAGGACAAGAAGAATTTGATTCGGTCGCGCGCCACTCACCTAGATGTGCTTGGAGATATGCGTTTGTCCTCTGTCCCCCTTGTTCCCCTCCTCCAGGGATCATTATCCTCATGCTTGTCCTGCTTGCTTGCAGCTTTGCATTAATTACATTATCAATATAGTAATCTTTTTTTTTTCTGTACTTCCTTGAATATTAACAACTTACAATGCTTAAATATTCGGGTACAAAGTTTTGTGTCAATTGACCCCGTAAGTGATGTCGTGACAATATGGCGCTGTGCTCCGAAGAAGTCATTGATAGAACCGGTCTTTTCGACAAAGGCTTGGGGGCTTGGCGTGAGGTTTAAAAATAACGGTAATTGCGTTATTTTCGTGCGTTCTTGTTTATTCAGCATTAATGCTTAGGGCAGGCACATACCCGTCAGAATGTGGGTATTTTGTTAACTCCTCGTTTAGCGCTCCTATCCGAAGTTTACGAGCTAATTGTTATGTGATTCAGTTAACGGGATGGCCTATAATTACCTTATTTTCTATCATTCAGGATGCTCTTTGACGCCCTGCATTTTGCGAAACTTAGGTTCCCCGGAGATGCCATGACCTCTTACTTTGACGATTCTAAATGTGCCAATCTAGGCAGAGACAGTAGAAGAAGCAGTACTGTTGCCATATACATGATAATTTATATTTCATGGTACGTAGTTGATGACTCATAGAGTATGAAAGCGCCTTAGAAAAACAGGGACAAGGAAGACAAGACAGCACAGAGCGCTGCTTACAACTCAAAGTTTTATTGAAAACACATTTAATTATTATACAAAATCGCCCTCCCCGCCTAAAACGCCCAATTTATTGCCGGGAATGTGCACCGACGGTGCACATTACGCAGGCTTCCTCTCCTGTCAGCCTTATATTGCACTCTTCGAATAGCTCTCTCCGGTTTGTTTCCCCGCAGGGGGCACCTGTGAAAGCAGGTGTTTGGAGAGTGGCGTCTCCACGGACCCCGAGCCATGCGGGTTCGCCCGCCCACGTATGGCTGTGCGTGGCTTTCCCGTGTCCGGGGAAAAGGGCATCCTGGTGGTTGAGCCGAGCCCGGGGTAGGTTTGGACCCTTCGGGGCCCCCCGGGTGAGGCAATACACCACTTCGGCCCCTGCTTCTTGTAGACGGGAGTCCTGGTAAGGCCCGGCCAGGATGATTCAGCCTAATCGCCACTTCTACTATCCCATCTCTATTTTCATCCTTGTCTTCTCCTCCTTTTCACTCTTCTCATTTCTCTTCTTTCCTTTTCAACTCCTTTGGCGGCAAGGGCTAACCTTGGGTGGCGACAGACACCTTGTCCATAACCACTCTTGGTTATAGAGACTGGGCAGCACTAATAGAGTAACGTCTTCAGCCAAGCTATTCTTGTTATGGAGCGTTACCTATTCCCTTGTTGGGCTCGGTGGTGGGCGATGCACCACAGTTTTCGAAAACCCTCCCCCTTTATATGGGTTCCAAAGTGAAACCTTTTGATCGGCCCCCCAAAAGGGGCCGCACCGAAGCACTGAACACGATGAGACAATCTTTTGTACTGCAGAAATTCCCGAAGTTCCTTGTTATGCACTCGGAAGGTGACAAGCCACTTGGCAAACTTTCTCCCTTTCTGGTCTCCAAAGTCCTTGAGGGTGTTATTGGCGCCAATTACAATGCAAAGAAGATGGGATCTGATGATCTCCTTGTCGAGGTCAACACAGAGCAGCAAAGTGATGCCCTTCTTAAACTCAACGTTGTCTCCGACTACAAAGTAAGCGTCAGTCCTCACCGCAAACTGAACAGTGTTCAAGGGGTCTTTTCTGAAGATGGCTTGCTTGACTCACCTGAGCGAGAGATAATTGAGGGCCTTTCTAGTCAAGGAGTTATAGATGCATGACGGATCACTATCCGCCGTGATGGCGTGGATTGGAAGACAAAACATATAATAATAATACCTATAATAGCTTTGTTTACCATGTATAAGCATGGTGGGGGCTGAGGAAAAAAAGCTGTCCAAGCAGCTTGACTGGTCCTCAGCCCCCCTCAGGTACATACAGTGGCGAGATAGACATTCAAAAGAACACAAAAAATTATATAATAATACAAGGTACTTTCATCATAACAATGAACAACAGAAAACTATCAGCAATACATCAAAAAAGAATAGCACTGGCCTATAAAAGAAATCGGGAAGTTGTACACAAGAAACTGAAAACTACTCAAAATATTCTAAGATGCTTCAACATAATATATATATATATATACATACATATATATACATACATATATATACACATACATACATGCATACACATACATGCATACATACACACGTATATATACATATATGCACATACACATGCACATACATACAAACACACACACATATTATACACACGTACATACACACAGACATACACATGTGTGGTTTTATGCTTCGTACATTGCGCGAAGTTCACTGTATCTGCAAGTGTACAGATCAAGATGAACGTGGTGATAGTTGTTTAAAAGGGATGGTAAAAGATAACGGAGACATTCTTTTCCGGAGTTTAGTCGAGTTGTAGGGACTACCCAGCTCTCTTTGTGTCTTGTACAGTAACTGGAGGTTTTTATTTGCAGTTGGGAAAGATTGCGTATATTACTTATATTTCTCTGTGTTTCTAATTTATAGCGAGCACTCAAACGATATCTGTATAGGTTGTGTGCCCTGATAACGCGAGAACGACGAAAGAAAATTGAACTAGGTGTGTCATAAGGGGCGTTATAGATGTGGCGAACGTATTTCTTTTGTAATAAATGAACACACTGTAGGTTTGAAGACGTAGTTGTCTCCCACACTAGCTGAAAATAGTTTAAGTGTGAGTAAAACAGTGAATTATAAAGAAGCAATTTAACTTGTGCGGGAAGCAGGTATCGAATGCGTCCAATTATGCCAGTAATTTGCGCTATTTTTGTTAGCAAGTAGTTTACATGAGCGTCCCATTGCATGTCGGCGGAAAATATGATACCGAGACACCTGAAGTTATCTACCTCTTCTATACGACGTGAATTAAGGAAGATATCCGGATGTGTAGGAACGGGCTTGTTTTTGGGTCTGAATGTAACCGCCTTTGTTTTTCTTTCATTTACTTGCATAGCATTAGCTGCCGACCAGTTCTCGAGTGAAAAAAATATGCTAGTGTCATCCGCATATACTATAAATTTGGCTGTGGGGCTAATATTTACAATATCGTTAAGATAAACGTTGAAGAG